AACTACCTATTACGAGATTTCTTGTCATTTTCCAATGATCAAGCACTCATGAGAGTAATTCTTATGCGGTTTTGGCATCAACATTTCTAACTGATTTAGATGAATTTAAGCAAGCAACCGTACACTGAGAAAAAGTCAATGATTGTTTCTATGTGTTCCACACATAGATTTTTGCAATTAAATTTATGATATAGTTTCTATATACCAGACACATAAATCTCACTTGCACATATCATCTCTATATGTGATCACACATACTGTTTATATGACACATAATCTGTATGTGTTTTGTTCCATGATATCTAATTATGTGTGGCCAAATGAATATTATGCTTAATATTTTATAGAAATTTTCTATTAGTTATGTGTGGATTTTTACTAGTGTATGTAATCGGTAGAGTGAATATATTATTAAGATTTTCTCGGTACAAGTAACTTTAAAAGCAATAAATGAGATAGATATTACGATGAACACAACACTGCCACGTTCTGTCATGACGAAAAATTCAATGAGCTTTCAAAAGCTCTCATCATCTCTATCATCGTTTTCTCATCTGACGCTAGTGACAGAAGTATCTCTGTAAATATCACGTGAGATTTTTCATTGAAAGTGACATTTGCCATTTGACATTTGTATAGACTAGGTTGGGTGTGGAAGTGAAAAATACAATCTTTGGAAATGGTGCTGGATGACCATCGTTAGGCGAAATGATTGATTTTGCTAAGGCGCTATCTTGTCCAGATAAAAGCTATATACAGAATAGCTGAGGAGAAATCCCTGTTTATCAAATTCAAGTTCGACGATTCGACATGCATTTCTGCATAGCCCTGAGCAATTAATTTCCCATTGTGATGATGGAAAGGCAGTCGAGGTACGCATGTCAAATGAGGGGGAATTTGTTCAATATGTACGAGTATATGATCTGCCACCTGAAGTTCCCGACAAAGATCTAGCGTTGGTGCTGGGGAAATACGGTACAAGTGTTGCCCGTGAAAAATTCCAACCAGAGCTGGGTATTACACTTGAGTACGTGGAGCATATATGGATGTGAGAAAGGGAATTCCTACATCGCTGCATTTCCTCAATCGTAAGGAACATGTATTCTATGAAGGAAACAAGAGCGTGTGCATTGTTTCGTGGGTGACCGGATGAATTCCTGCCCAAGCGTATGGCCGGGAAACAGCCAGTAAAGCATCACCTAAACGGAAGTAGGATGATGATCAAAGTGACATCAGTTCATACGCAGGAGTGGTAGCCGGAGGTGCATCAGCGGACGCGATTAAGGTGCTCAACGAAAAAGTGATGGCAATCGTCGAGACGACCCCGGATGAAGACAACATAAAAAAAGAAGAACAAGCAAACCAGGTTCAGAATCCGTTCGATTACCGTAAAGACCCGACTTAATTGATGGAAATAGAATTGTTTGATCAACAACAGCATATCATGGAAGCGAAGAAAGCAGAAGAAAAGAAAAAGTTACTTGTAATTACGGTTAGCGACTTATAGTCAGATTTTTATTGTTTACTAGCTGTTTGTGCCCGGTCTTGCTCGGGATTCAATATTAGCTTGAGTTTATGCGCCGATTTAAAAAAAAGCATGCTATATTGTACGTAGCCCCCTCCCCCTATTATCTAAGGGGCTACCCCCTATGATTATCTCCTTATACCCCCACACTCGCCCCCACATGCCTAATTTGGTTCCATTTGCTTGATTAGTTCTCGAGTTATGCACAAATTTCTGTTTCATTTGTATGGGAGTCCCCCCTTACAGAAGGGGGAGGGGTCTCGAACCATCATAAGAACCTTCCACGGCCCCAAAAACCCCTGTATACATATTTTCACACCAATCGGTTCAGTAGTTTCCGAGTCTATAAGGGTCAGACAGACAGACAGAAATTCATTTTTATATATATAGATGAGAAAGTTAGAAGATACTAAGAAGTAATATGATATATATATATATATATCATCGATAAGAGAAAATTTGCGAAAAAATCTAAGGGCACCGGTGGGATTCGAACCACCAATTCCCATTCAGTACACGGATGCATTGCCAATTATACAACGGTGGACTTATGGCTTAGGGATGTATTTGGCTAATGATATTTGAGTTATATTTTATAATGAGCTGATTGCAGACTAGCTTTACCCGTACCCTAGTTTTAATTAGTGGGATCTACATTGTGTGTAGCTCTTTAATTACAACCCTTTAAAAGAGCACAAAGCTTTTCACGAGGCACACAAATGGAAAATTAGTAAGTAACCACTTCTAAATGTACCTTGGTAGCACTTGTTTTAACACTTTTTTGAAAAACACTCTCATGCATTTATACTCATTTTTATAAATACTTTATTCGCTGTAATCACTCCAGATTGTAGTTTGAATACTATTCCAGCAACTTCGGGCATTTCCCAGAAAAGACACTTCGGGCCGCTTTTCATTCCACTTTATTTCTACGATTTGAACCTAGTCTATCTTTCACTAATGATTTTCTTGAGCGTCTGACGTTCAATTAAACATTAGTTGGGATTTCAATTGAACGAGTAAAGCTGGGTCTGTTAGAATCAAGAAAAAGAATTTATTTTATAGCAGCGCCATTAGTGGAAATGTGGAATGTGTTGACAGCAGTTTGTTTTGAAAAAGCTTCTCTTGCAGTGCTGATCAGTGCGCAAAACAATCAGTCATTTATTTTCATATGAATAGAAACTGCCATCCCGCCCATTAATCATTCAATGCCTCGTGAGAGTCTGAATGATTGGGAAGTAAAGGAGTGACAGCCGAGCACCAGTGCTGTAAATTCTCAAAATTAATTGAACATTTTTGGTTGAAACCAACAAATATCATCTAAGAAACCTGTTAATTTTATCATTGATTCGGCATAGGATTCTAAGGCCGCTGCCATGGTGGCAGCGAAGAGGCGCGCTTAGTGTTGTATACAAAAGAATTCCTATTATTGTTATTATTTCCTACTTTCGATTTCACGCTTCACGTGCTTCTTCGCTCTCAGTATGGCAACACCTTTTCGAAAATCACACGATCAATAACAGAGAAATTTTCGAACATTATAATTTATTTTCGAAATCTAAAATGGAACATAGCCTAAGGTTGTGTTCCATTTGATGAATTTTTACTGCCACTTCGAAAATAAATTAAACTGTTCGAGAATCCCTTTCCAAAATTGATTCTTGGTTTTTCTGAAATAAGTCTGGTAGAATAGCAGGTTTATTTGAAAATTTGAAATTCACCAAATGGACCGCAGCCTAAATGTAGGGGGGTTGACAGCTGTAGTATACTCCCAGTCCCACCATCGAAGGGCAGTTGCTAGATAAGATGAGGTTGCGACATAATTAAACAAATAAGCTCTTTGAAAACAATTTTATATTACTGTATTTTTTCCAGTAACAAATATTTTTTTGTTACTGGAAAAAAATGCAAGGATTAAAAAGGAGGACATTTTCGGGCAAAAAGAAGAAACATTAGTGAAAAGGAGGACATGTCCTCCTTTAGGATACTATGTGGCTACCCTACACTCAGCCTAAGCAGTAAATAATTTTACACTCTGGTGCTGATTGCTGCATCACGATTCATGCTGATTTAAAAAAAAAGTTATGGCAGACTACTACTACTGTCTAAGTAAGACACCTAAAAATAACCACCAATAACAATTAGATGTTGGGTCTCGACATTGAAAGGTGCGCTTCACAGGGGTGCTACTACAATAGGATGACATCTTTACTATTTGTGCTATTTGCTCACAGCTCTGCCCATTGTTTATGCTTTGTTCAAGTGATTTTTAGCCAAGGTGGAAAACAACGAGTTTGTGATATTCGTCACTACGTTATAGCACATTCGCTTGAACTTACCATGCACTTCACTCGTATCCTACCTATCGAGCTCACGGCAGAATGGTACACGGTAAAAAGTTATCACATCTAATCCAAATGCTTTTGTACTTGACTCAGTCTGTTATGCGGCACTACGAATCGAAGTGATTTATGATTGATTTTCAAGTTATTTGCGTTTTGAAACCAAGTGATTTGTTGTTGAAAAATATGTACTGTATAACATCTTTAATACAAAATGATTATCATTTGCATCGGCACCACTGTTTTCATCCATTGAATTTGTTTATTAGTTTAGCTTTTGAAAGCAAATGTCAAAATGCACATGACAAACATTACTCTCGAAGATGGCAAGTCAACAACAAATGAAGTTAAGTGAGAGAAGCGATAATTCTCCATCTCCACCCGAAATAATTTGCATTTTAGAGCGTGAGTAATACGAAATTGTTGCTGTAGTCAATAAAAGTGTATTATTCAGATAATTTCGATTACAAAACAGTATCAAGCTTATCAAATTTATTGCTCAATGTCTCGCCTTGCTTCTGCTATAAGCCTTGCGATGTTGTTCAATGTCACTTGGAAACATGTGATCTGGGTAGTAATATGATATGGTCATATTCTGAATAACATATAACAAGGTGTTGGGGAAGAACCTTTTCTCACCGCTTTACGGCCGTCATTTGCCTAACAGTTTGCAATACGCAACTTATTCTTCGCACGGTCAAACGAAACACATTCACAGAGGGACGATAATTTATTGCAACACCAAACACTTAACAAACTTTGTTTCTAATTTCTAGGACAGAGTATATTTGCGCGCAATTTGGTTTCCTCTTGCAAACTCAGTGGTGGCTGATAGCAAACTATATTAAAATCGTTTCTTATTCTATACTTTTCTAAGCCTATCACCGAATCTGCCGTAGTATGCAGATTGTATTGGTGAGAGAGAAAAACGAGAGAAATGTATACGATGTTACAGCATTCAGCTACTTAAACACTGGCGGCTCGTAATGAAAAAACACACTGAACCTAAACATCGCCACCACCTTGAAATGTCAATTTAAACTAAACATAAACAACTGATTCTATACTATTGGGACAACGAGTACAAATGCAGAAGGTTTCTTACAACAACTTAAGATTACATCGACAATCTCTTACGTATCCGTAATCAGAGGACCAACGGTGGGAACAGATTGTAGTGAAGAATCTCCTGCGGATGGCTCCAGCAACGAAGTGTTTTCGTCGGTTTCCTCCTGTGGCAGCATGCAAATTTTGACGATGGGTCGTTTTACAATTCCCTTGTTTGTTTTCAGAGTCACGACTCGAATCAAACCGTCCTCTCCCGGATGGATATCCACGATTCGAGCGAGGGGCCATTTCAGTGGAGGCTGCATTTCGTCCACTAAGATCACGAGACGTCCAGGCTTGATTTCGCTGTTCGCACGAAAGTTATTCTGGCTCTTTTGTAGTTCATGTAGGTATTCAGTACGCCAACGGTGCCAGAAGTTTTGATGCAGCTGCTGCAGCTGTTGATAATGGCTCAAGCGATCGGTAGGGATGCAACGAACGTCGTGGTCAGGCAGGGATTGCATAGGTGCACCGATCAAAAAATGGCCGGGTGTCAGTGCAGTAAGGTCTTCAGGATCCTCCGATAGTGGAACAAGTGGACGAGAGTTCATGCTGGCCTCGATTTGTGTGAGCACCGTTGACATGGCTTCGAATTGGAGGCGAGAATTTCCTAGTTGCCGATACAGCTGCTTTTTAGCGACCTTAACTGCGGCCTCCCATAAACCGCCGAAGTGAGGTGCTTTCGGTGGTGTCATGTGCCAAGTAATGCTGTTGTTAGCCAGGACAGATTCGATGACATTCATTTCCTTCTTGCTACGTAGGAACTTGTAGAGAGCAAGTATTTAGCTCATTTTTGGCTCCCTCGAAGTTTTTTCCATTGTCGGAGTGGATATGCGCTGGGAAACCGCGGCGCGCGATGAATCTGCGCAACGTTGCCATAAATGCCGCCGTTGTTAGGTCCGAGACTAGTTCGAGGTGTACCGCTTTCGTAGAAAAGCATATGAAGACGCAGATGTACGCTTTCGGTGAGGGTGCTCGCTTGTGTGGTGCTCGAAGGTAAACGGGTCCAGCATAATCGATTCCGGTAACGGTGAATGGTCTGCTTGGAGTGATTCGAGGCACAGGCAGTTGGCCGATCTGCTGCTGGGTTTGGACGGGATCGACTCTCGCGCATCGAATGCACTGACGTAGGACGCTGCGTACGGTTCTCCTTCCATGGAGTGGCCAATATTTCTCATGAATTCGGGCAAGTGTGAGCTGGCCACCACCATGCAACAGGTTAACGTGGTGGGTACGTATGAGCATGCGGGTAAAGGGATGGGAATTGGGCAATAGGGCTGGGTGCTTCGTTCTGAATGGCTGGTCTGACAATCTCAACCTACCCCCTACTCTTAACGTGCCTTGTGGGTCTAGGAAGGGGTTAAGTACACAGATTGGCGAATGTTTAGAAATCATCTTTCCCTTTTGTACATCTTTCAACTCTGCACGAAACGCATCTGCCTTAGCGAGACGAACCAAAAGATCTTCAGCCGAGGATATTTGAGCAATGGTGAGCGTTGGACTAGGTAGATGACCAGTAGATACCAATGGCTGGGTGCGCGCTTTATGCCGAATATTCTCGATGAACCGGAGGCAATATGCAGTTATGCGCCTGAGTCTGTAGAATGCAGAGTAGCGGTCAAATACTTCGTTGATTTGCTGTGCTGTACGTGTAATAGTCGCCACCACCTTGCGATGTTCCATTTCGTGTTCAGGTGCTGGGGGTAGTGCTGAGTTGATCCAATATTCTTTCGCTTTGAATAGCCATTCTGGACCGTGCATCCAGAAACTGCTTACAACGAAATCGTCGACGTCCATTCCTCGTGACAGCAAATCCGCTGGATTCTCCGAACCGGCGACATGATTCCATTGAAATCCATGCGTTAGAGTTTGAATTTCCGAGACCCTATTGGCAATGAACGTTTTCCAGTTGTTTGGAGGTGATCGCAACCAATGTAGCGTGACAGTTGAGTCGCACCAGAAGAAAGAATCCGAGATTTCGATTTGAAGAGCTTTGCTGACATAGGCGTACAACTGAGCACCGACGAGAGCCCCACATAGCTCCAAGCGAGGTAGAGTGATACGTTTTAACGGAGCAACTCGAGTTTTCGATGCGATGAGTCGAACACGGACGTTACCAGAAGAGTCAACAGAACGAGCGTAGATGCAGGCCCCATATGCAGCTTCCAATGCATCGGTGAACGTATGGAGTTGTACTTTGGCGTGTGGCAACAATGCATAGCGATCGACTCGAAATTCAGTGAGCTTTTCCAACGAACTGAAGTACTCCCCCCACTTGAATTGAAGAACGTCCGGTACAGGCTGGTAACAGCTGCAGTTAAGGAGCCATAGTTCTTGCATCAGCATTTTTCCTCGGACGACGATCGGTGCAGCAAGCCCTAGTGGATCGAAAAGCTGGGAGATTGATGATAACATGGACGTTTTGGTAGCAGGCTTGTCCGGATGAGTGACCTTCGAGTCAAATCGCAGCTTGTCAGCTTCAGGTTCCCATACGATACCCAACGTTTTCAGACTTTCTTGAGGAGTGAAGCTTACGATGGATTGTGTCCCGATTTGATCTTGGCTTAGTCCTCGGAGCACCTCTAGCTTATTCGAAGCCCACTTTCGTAAAATGAAACCACCTTTCCTGAGAAGATCGTCTAGTTCCTTTCGCAGCTTGATGGCTTCTTCGATGGTTTGAGCACCCGCAACGCAATCATTGACATAGAAACCTTTGCGGAGAACTGGTAGAGCGAGTGGATATGCTGGACCTTCATCTTCTGCTAGTTGCAGAAGGGTTCGAGTGGCTAGGAAGGAAGAAGGAGCGAGCCCGTATGTGACCGTTAGTAGCTGGTACACTTGGATTGGTTGGGATTTCGAAAAGCGCCACAATATGTACTGGAACGGGCAATCTAGTAGATGCAACAGGATTTGGCGATACATTTTTTCCACGTCCGCCACAATTGCAACTGAAAACGTCATAAAACGTAGAATAATCGCTAGCAGCTCATCCTGAACAACGGGTCCAACGAGCAGGGCGTCGTTCAACGAGAATCCGGTTGATGTTTTTGCAGATCCGTCGAAGACGACACGTACCTTCGTAGTGGTGCTGGATTCCTTCACTATTGGATGGTGAGGAAGGTAGTACGAGTTTTTGTCGTCGATTTTATCTTCGGGAACTAATCGCATATGACCAAGGGACAAGTACTCTTCCATGAACTTATGATACTCCTTCTTAAGATCGGGTTCTCGTTCTAATCTTGCTTCAGTAGCCCTGAATCTTCGAATGGCAGCAGCTTTGGATTCCCCTATCATGGTGTTGAATTCCGGATGACGGGGCAGACGAACTTGATAGCGACCAGAAGAATCACGTGAGACTGTTGACTTATACCATTCTTCGCATTTCCTCTCCTTTTCAGAATAGTCAGAACTGTGAGGTAATTCTTCTAGCTTCCAAAAGCGTTCCAAACTCTCTTCGAGTGTGACCAGGCAAACTGCAGTGAAGTTGCAAGTGGCGGAATCGGGAGATGTTGGAATGAGATGACCAGAGCCTGCAACGATCCATCCGAATACACTGTCGACCAGTTCGGGCAAATCTTTCGCTAATTGGATACGAGCCGTTGTTGTGAAGCAGGAGAAAAAGTGTTGAATACCGATGATCATGTCGATGTCAGCACGCTTGTTGAAGTTGGGATCGGCCAAGAACAGGTCCTTCGGGGTTTTCCAGTCGACGATTGGGACGTCTTGCTCAGGCATGGCGGACGTCACTCGAGGCAGGACGAGAAATTCAATGTCACGTGTGAAATCCTCCTTGCGAGAACGAATTTGAGTGGGGACAGAATCTGATGCGCGAATCGAAATTCCCCCAGGTCCTTGCAGCTGTACATTCACCTTCTTCCGCTTGAGCATCAGCATTTGTGCCATACGATCCGTCATTAGATTGGGTTGGGAAGCACTGTCTAGCAAGGCCCTTGCTAGGTGTTCTTGCCCGTGGACGTCTACGATGACCAACACTACGGTGAGCATGAAGACGTTGCTGTTTCGAGAGATCTGAGATGACACTGCTTGAACTTCGTTGACGTACGCAGAGGTAGATGAATCCATGGTGGATGAATCGATGTTGGCCACGGTGACGTTTGCTTGAGTGGAAAATTGTGGCTCACTAGTAGAGCACTGAACCACGTTGCTACTTGGAGAAGAATCTGCGTAGCCAGGATGGATCCACGTGTGATGACGCTTCTGACACATTCGGCAGTTGGTTTGGCAAGGGCAGTTGCCAACGTAGTGCCCATCTTGGAGGCAGTTGAAGCAGAGTCGTTTTGTGTTTATAATATTCAACTTCTCCTGAAGAGATAGCTTCTTGAATTGGCGCATTGCAAAGCTGGGTCGACTACCGGAATTCCCTTTCTTTGTATTATTCTCCGTCACAGCATGCGTAGACATCTTCTGTTGAAAAACCTTGCTGCATTTTTGTGAACCAGAAGAACCATAACCAGAAGAGAAAGGCGAAATACTATGCGAATTCGGAGGTAGTGGAACAGACTCATGATTGACGGCGATAGATTCAAGAACCCTGATTCTCCGCTGCAGAAAGTCAACTAGGTTAGTGTATGTTGGCTTATCGATTGTTGACGCGTGATCCTCCCACAATTTCAGCGTTTCGTCGTGCAGTCTGGTGCAGAGTAGATGTTCCAGCATTGTTGACCAGGTATCGGTAGGCTCCCCTAGTTGTCGCAGAATTTTCGTGTGCCTTTCGAATTCGTCGACAAGTCCATGTAGAGTCGCTGCAGATTCCTGTTTCATCCTTGGAGTCTCGAACAGAGCTTGTAAGTGCCGCTTCTTGAGGAGATACTCGTTGGAATAGCGTGACACGAGAGCCTCCCAAGCGAGTTGGTAGTTCGCAGCACTGATGGCGATGGATTCAATTACTTGAGCAGCCTCACCTTTCACAGCAGCACGCAGATAGTGAAACTTCTGAATGTCAGCCACTTCTGGGTTGGAGTGAATAAGCGCGAGGAACGTATCATGAAAACCTAGCCAATCTTGGTAATCACCACTAAATTCAGGCAGAGCTATTGTTGGCAATTTTAGACCATGCAGACCAGAGTTAGTGTGAGTAGGGGGATTTAGAGGGAGATTGCTTGGTTGATTGATAGGTGGAGGTAACTTAGATAGCAGACCAGCTTTAATTGCAAAAAATTTGGACTCAAAGTCAGAACGATAATTCAAATTCCTCACCATGCCTTGATTCGACGTCTCCATTTCCTCCAGTTCCCTTTGAGTTTCCTCCAGCCCTTGCCACACGATTTCCAAATTTTCCAGCCTCAGAGGGACTTGCAGAGCGTCCCGTCCAGCCTCAAATGCCTGAAGAAATTGTTCCGCTCGGCTGAGTGACGCAAGCAGTGTGGTTCTCCGGATGTTGAGCTGTTGCTTCATCCTATCATCGTCCATCTGACCAAGGTAAGTTTGTGCCTTGTATTTTAATGCAAAATCTCGTACTCAGCCAGAAACAGTTTCAAAATAACCAAGAACTTGATGTTCCGTATCGATGACCCCTTAGCGATCTTCGCGATAGATTAGCGATGGTGATTGTCCTCGATAGCACTCACGAAGCAGCGTGGAATCCGTTGACCGTAATATCAGGAGTCGTGAAACGCCGAAATCCACCAGCCGACATGTGCGTTTTAAAAGGAGAGAACAAAACCGAAAATCTAAACGCACCTACGTTGGCTACTAATCACGTTGGAAAGCTAATTACCTGCTGCCTAATTAATTAGGCCTTGTATTTTCGTAATGGCAGCATACAATTTGCAAAATCGTTCCAGAGGTGATCGTGATGGCGACTCCTTTTTGTCGCGGACAATTGGTGATTGTATCTTTGACTGCGCCCGAAGATGGCGGTTATTTCTGCAGTATTGTTACCGGACAGAATGGCGATCACGGAGATGGCGATGAGCCCCCGAAAAGTCCAGGAATCCACAATTATCCTGGTCACGGCACCAAATTATGTTGGGGAAGAACCTTTTCTCACCGCTTTACGGCCGTCATTTGCCTAACAGTTTGCAATACGCAACTTATTCTTCGCACGGTCAAACGAAACACATTCACAGAGGGACGATAATTTATTGCAACACCAAACACTTAACAAACTTTGTTTCTAATTTCTAGGACAGAGTATATTTGCGCGCAATTTGGTTTCCTCTTGCAAACTCAGTGGTGGCTGATAGCAAACTATATTAAAATCGTTTCTTATTCTATACTTTTCTAAGCCTATCACCGAATCTGCCGTAGTATGCAGATTGTATTGGTGAGAGAGAAAAACGAGAGAAATGTATACGATGTTACAGCATTCAGCTACTTAAACACTGGCGGCTCGTAATGAAAAAAACACACTGAACCTAAACACAAGGCTTGTAGAATGAACAAGGCTATATATTTATTCAAACCCATTTTCAGCAAAAATTAAATCCAAGGATAAATTATTTAAAGTGATAGATTGTTAATATCAGTATGGTTGACATTTCGAGTTCAAAGTACAGCACATCAACAACAATGTACAATACAATCTAAAATGAAGTGATTTGCTGTTGATTTCATCATGCTTCGATATGCTCTTCCAAGGGATTTGCACATCAAATTGCAAGGTTTGGCAAGTAGTGCAAATTCAACAGCAAATCACTTTACATGAACATGATGTTTTTTTTACAGTGTAGTAAAAAATCAAAGAAAATGAACGCAGGACGAAAAAAGTACCTAATATTGAGTTCCATTCACCCAAGTTGAAGGTTGAGTGCGGGAAACTAATTATGAGTTAAAACGGCTTGAATTAGTTCTCATTCGCACACGTGTAAACAAACTACTTACTACTAAGTTGTTTTTACCCAACTTCAACTTCCAACTACTCAATATTAAGTTGTACATCACTAACTTAACGTTAAATTTCCGCCTTTGAAGATTGTTTTACCCCTTCTTTTTGACATCGACGTGAGGGCCAATTTAACTCAATAGTGAGTTGAAAGAAATCAAGCGTTGGGTAGTTGGTTTGTCTTTCCGTGTATGGAAATGTGTTGTTTTGTTGATAAAAAACCAATTTTTACAATTCTCACAAAGAACGGTATACATATCGCATGGAAAACCGACTTTTGACATTCGACTTAACTCGACGAGATCAGAAAATGTATGTATGTTTGTATGTACATTAGGGTACTTTATTTTGAAAAAAAAGTAATAAATTTCGGATAGGTCATCCAGTTCGTTTCATAACCCGAAAATAGGACCTGTGTATAAAATGGAAAAGATTGATGAAGGTTTAGAAGTCACGCAAATGATTTGAAATTTGTATGGGAATTACTGCGGAAGAGTTGCAAAAATCACTAATATCGCTCTAACTTTGCTCCAACGTGTCCAAATGATGCCATTTTTTAATTTGTTGTTGCTATGACAATGACCAAAATGTTTGTTATTGTTACGATCATTTTTGCAATGTATCACAAAAGATAGAATTGCGAACTAATAACGTAATAGGGTAAATTAACAGTGCAAGTCTAAAACGCCAATTTCTTCTCATCAGCAACAGACTTGTTGTCATTGTCATGACAACCGCATTCTAATTTTTTCATGGTTTGGATTGGACTACTAAAGCCAAAGTTAGAGCAATTTTTGTGAAAATTAATAATATCCAATACTAATTCACCGAAATCTCCATACAAACTTCAAATCATTTGCGCGACCAGCGATGTTTACCATTTTTTGCACAGTCTCATATTTTGGCCTATCAGAAATTCATCACTTTTTTCAAAGTTATGTGTGGATGTGTGGATATGTGTATTTTGTATACAATTTGACGACGTTTTTCTTATCAACTACTGGACCAAAAGGTATTGTGGTCACATTAAACGATATTTTTTGGAATTGGTGAATACGGCTCGTGTGTCTAAAAACTGCCTGAATCGTGTGAAACCCTTCATGTGACAACTGAAATCAAGAACTCAAAAGAAGATCATTGGTGATTATATCAAGTACCAAGAACCACATTGGAATATGTTCTGAGAACCCCAGGGTCAGTGGTCAATTTCTGTCCTGAACCAAAATCCATCATGCGCCACCTCAAATTTCATGAGAATTCATAACAAGTGCAAATGTGGCTGTATCAAGTGACCAGGACCACATTGGACATATCCGGATATTCTCCGGTTATCCCAGTGGAAGTGGCCAACTTCTTTCTTGAATCGAAATCCATCATGTGACACATTACATTACATAAGTATTGCAAAACAAGTGCAATGGTGCTTATATGCAGTGCCCTCAGTGCTTATATGCAGTGCCCTCAGTGCAGACCTCACTGGATATATCGGGGCATGTTCTGGGTGAAGTGGTCAGTCTCTGGCTTGGACTAAAACCCATCAATTGACACTTCAAATCACATGAGAATTTAAAATAAAGTGCAATGATTGTTACATCACATTAGTCTAGTCGCAATGTATTATTTGGTCAGAAATTTCACTACCACTAAAAAACTGTCATCTGTTGGAATATAATACTTTGGATCATGTCGTATTATCAATAAGTTATTAAGATAGATATCTATACAATATAGTGCGTTCGAGAATCCTTCCTCAAAATTCATACATTTTTTTCTCGTCTTAGAAAGCTAGTCATGTGTATCATTCAGTCTCTTAAATTCCGTAAGTCTTTGATTCAGCAGTTTTTGATGTGTCTGTGATACCTTTAAATGCAATTAATTTTATGTAGCACAGGACAAGGAATGTGGTGAATTCTGGATTCAATCTTGTGATCATAGAGTTAGAGTTGAAGATAGACTGCTTTCCGGCTTGTCTGCTCAGATCATTAAAATCCTTCTGAATTCGACTCCACCGTCCTGGCCAAAACTGGTAACTACTCCTAGCTCAGCTCCATTACATTACACTCATTTCATAGGCAACCGTCAGCTATCATACAAAACCTCGGTTGGGTGAACCATATCCAGCTCATTGTTAATCACATCTCCTAATAGCTATGTGTACCGCAATAAATAAACAGATTCAGCTTCATCCTGAGGCTTAAAGGATTTTTCCACAACATTACCCTTCAGTGGCAAATAAGCCAATATAAAACGGTTTTTATTAGAATGCCGGTAGATTATTTGTCGCTTGTGCGGTGTTGTTCCGTGTAAACTGTTCCGTTTTCTTCGTATCCCCCTGACAAGGTTTCAAATACATCCGTTCAAATTGGAATGTAAGAAGCTGTACGTGTAAACTCTCAAACATGGTTTTGTGAATGGGGCAAAATGGTTTTGAATGTTGTGTAGGAACTCTCTATTCAACCTAACCAGCAACCAGAGAGATGTAGCATAGGTAGGCAGTAAATATAGGCGCCTCTTACAAGCTCTGTTTGACATTCATCCCCCTATTTCGAGGAACATGTTTGAATGTGTTGTGGAGGAGCGAAGGATCAACTGCTAGAAACACTTCCAGTTCGTATGATTTACTAGGCATCAACAAAAGTATGTTTCGCTTCGAATTCGTTCAAGATAAGTGTTATATGTATTTTCTAGAATGTTTCTGATACAGACTTTGGTTTTTAATCAAGAGTATACACGTTTTATACTATACGACCAAATATCCCGATATTCATATTGGGTGTACAAAACAAATGAATAGAAATATTCAACGGTATCTCTGCTATCTGCAAATCCATAAAAAATAACAGATCAAAAGTTCAATACAGCAAACAAAAGCGTAGATGGTATTGTACCATTTATAAATCATCTTCCACTGCCTACAGAAGAGGGAGTAGCAAGTGTCAGTAGAATGGAACATTTAATTTTATTTCTGATAAAGTTCAATGCT